TGTAGAAGACTTTCTCTTTTTCTAATTAATAAATTTGAGGCAAGGCCTCGCTGGAACAAAAAAAAAAAAAAAAAAAATAATAATTACAACACAATTATGACATTACAGTATAATTACGGCATTACGGCATAATTGCGACATTGCAACACAATTACGGCATTGCGAATTGTCACAATTAAAAAAATAGTTGCAACTCTTATCTTAATATATCAATTCCGTCAGATATCACTAAATTGATCCATATAATATGGGTGTATATATGTACTGAAAAAGATGTCGAGAAGGTATTGATAGATGTACCTCCATCTAAGATATTATCGAGAAAGGTTTTAGCTCATATTGAAAAAAGATTCAAAGATTTACCACTTGCACCGGTGATCATATTCGATTAGATAATTTGTGTAACTTGGTATATTTGCTAAAATAATTAACCTATCATGTGATATGTGTTATAGAAAGAATTCGAATGTAATAGAACCTGCATGCATCATCTGGTCATGCGATACACCGATTACCAAATTTAATTAGTACCCCTTTTCCTCTTATATTCGGAACATACACTACCAAATAAAATTTCGGGTGAATAACTGAATCTAAACCTTACCCATTAGCTACGGATTGGCATTTTATCATGTTTACGTCTGAAGGGATTCTTTGCACAAGTAAAAGCGAATATCTCACAAAATCAGCCATCAAAAAAATCGTGATATTTTAAAAGAAAATGTAAAACAAATAATTAGTATAATCGTCGGCTTGTTGAAAGATCGGGTAATAGCAAGTGAACCCGTGTTCAGGAAATAATTGGAAATATTAATTCGTTTTATGTATTCTAATTGTACTTTACATTTGCGATCCTATATTTTATAAATCAAATAAATATGAGTAAACTGGAATAAAAAATTTTATATGTAATAAATTCGAAATATTAATACTAAATAAAACGGATAAACTTAGTTTCGACGACGGGCCGTCGCTGAAATTTTGGTCTCATGATTTCACCAAATGATCTATTTCACGCGCCGGTCATCATAATATAAACAAACAACTATCCACTTTGTCAAATCGCTCTCTAAGCTGGCTGACATCATGGACGACAATGTTGAACCCTATCTCGGTTATACTCGTGAGTTTTGTGATAGGAATTTAAATAAAAAATAGTTTCCTTTATTAACTGCTATAAAATTACTCCAGATCTTGTCTCTTATTTAAAAGAGCGCACAGTATGGTCTTACTCAGAATTTTTAAAACTTAAACGCGATGTTATTCTTTCCTCAAGTCTTTCGGACGATTGGAAAACTCTTGATGTCATCTGGGCTCGTAGATTTTTAAATGAAGCAAAAGAACTAGACAAATGCAACTTTACAGCTTTGGAGGAGAAGGTGACGTTCTTGTATATTTTATAGTAATAGGGAGCTTCTGTCTACTCTCATCTAGATTAGAAGCATTGGCTCTCACCCCACCCGAGTAATGATAGTGGCAACCTCACCTACTCTCATCTAGGTTCGGGGGTATCAGCTCTCATCCTGGCTCTATCATTGCGACTTACATTTATTTTCATTTTCTCGAGAATATTTTTCTTTTGTTTATGACAAGGAATTATTTCTCATTCTTCATTGTTATTATATCAGGTGAAAAATGAACGTGCAAACACAAGTTTGCAAGAATACTGGGAAGGGATCATATATAACCGCGAAAAGGTGTATTCCCATTTACATATTGTTATTATGTACTATTATACAAATATCTACTAACTTATTTAAAATAGATGACAGCAGAGCGGGCACATCTCATTGGAAGTATGAGTTTATACGGGGAAGTTGCAAAACACAACTCTAATAAGTTAATCGAAGATATTCCCAACAATCCGCTTTTGTTATTTAATGAAGGAAAGGATACCAACTTAGTTCGTAAATGGAGTAATGATGGAAAAATTACGCCAACTAAACGGGTGAGATTATGAGATTTACAAATTTTTTTTGAGATCAAATAATTTATTAACAATATT